ATCCACATTAAGTCATGCAAGGCCTTGTCAGGAAATTTCTTCTGGAAATTGGCCTTCAAGTGCCTCACACAATAACGGTGGTATGCGTATGGTTCCTGCCATTCAGGCAAGTGACGTACAGAACTTAAAATACCACCATGCCGATCAGATATTAGACAAATACCTGAACGCTGTTCGACAATGTGCTGCTTCAAGTGGTTCAAAAAAAACGTCCACGTCTCTTCGCTTTCGTTGGCACATATGGCAAAAGCTAGTGGAAATATATTTGTTCGTTGGCATCAACTGCAACTGCAATCAAAAGCTTAATATCATACTTTCCATAGACATGAGTACCGTCTATGGAAATTACAGGACGACAATGCACAAAACCATCAATTGCTGCTTTAAATGACCATAACACATAGTTGAAAATATATTCGGGTCTGTCCGGACTCCGCTCACGCCTCCATTCAATAACAGTTCCGGGGTTAAAATGTTGCAGTGCGGCCATGTACCTGGGCAGATTTGAAAAAGACTTATCCCAGTCGCCATAAATAAGTTCAAAGGCACGTTTGCGACCGAGATATGCCTTTCTTTTGGTTATAGTACAACCACACTCCTGGTGGACGGCTGTAATACACTCTTTAATCTTGAACCTAATGGACACTTCCAAATATGGAATCAAGACAAGAGAAATCAAGTCCACATCCAAGTTGAAGTGATTCTCATTGAATGTGTCCATTTCACATCTGTGCTCGCTAATAAATTTACGCACTTTCCACAAACCTGATTTCTTCTTGCTGGCACGCAACATCCAATGACAACCCATAAACCACCTACGGCATACAGCCTTGTATACCTCCGTAGTTGACTCACTTACCGTCATCTCACGGTACTCTCTTATACTGTAGATTTTTACAGCCCTAATTAGGCGAGCTTTATCGGGGAAATACATGCCCTTTGTCAGAACAGCTGGTCTAGACTCATCCCACATCGCTGACCGAATTTCGTCATCATCCCTTGTGAGGGCATCCACGTTCGGCATACTTGGCAAATTATCAAGGTAGGGAATATTCCGCTCATGAAATGGCACGTGGGACTCGTACACTCTTTGTCTAGCGGGAGGTGGAGGAACATGCTCCCTCGTCAGCTCAGGTTCAACATTCACTTCCTCCTCATCATCACCCTCATCATGGAAGGGTGTGTCATCCCCAGACTCATCCGCATTATTGTCATAATCACTATCATCTTTCTAACTCTGCGCATCAGCCAAATCACGAGTCAATACGTCGTCTATGGGCAACTGTGTGAGGTCAGGAACATCAAGAAGCTCGTTTTCACTGCACAAAAAGAATAAAATGATAAGTTACCCAACTACATAAATACATTTGATATAGCTATATCAATTTACTTGCAAGTCGCACTGTCTTGACGTTTCATGATGGATATTTTCTTGTTGGTGATTACTCTCGGATGGACCACCGTGCTCCAATACTCCAGAACTACGCATATTCCAACTAGGGACGGGGTCATAACTTGTAAAATTCATATCCGGATGGTACCCCCTATGAAAAATATAAGTGTTAATATAAATCCAATTAAAACATAAAATAAACATCGCTAAAGCGTAGTAAAATTGAAGTTTACCAGTCGTCTTGTGGATTATATAAAGTCGAAAAATTATTTTGTGGCTGCTCATTCGCCGGTGGTGACAAGTTTAAATCAAGGCAAGCTCTTTCATCAGCAATCTGTCCGGCAAAAACTTGCTCCAGAATAACCACCCGAAGGCTGGGGGTTATCCCTACTATGCACGCCGTCATTATTGGGAACGTCTTCCACCTTGACGTACATTTCCAATAATTTTATTACAATAAATTTCCTGTATTCATCCGGAATCCGCAAAAAATCTCTAAGAGTTTCATCATCCTCGATGTTAAACTCAGAATAATAAGCAAACCCCTGCGGAGTCACTGAATATGGAAACCTACTGGTTACTTTAAGGTTAACCGAACGCTTCCTCACACTCATTTTTTTACATAACAACGAAACTAATTTATCATACTCCATAGTAAGGGGCAATTTAACATGACACTGTAGAGGTGAGCTATACCTCACAGAGTTATTCTCCAGCACAACCTCACCCCTCCCTCCCCCCCCCCCCCCAATATTATGAAACCCTTATTTTTGGCTCTTCAGACATTGTACAAAAATAATTGATAAGAAGAAGAGAGAAGTATGAACGGAAGTTAAAAGTTTGTATTGAATGAATTTTCATAAAACTGAAACGCCTTTAAATAAGGCAAGTCCGAGCCTGGGCTGCAGAATTTTTTTAAGGAATTCGCAGTACAATAATACGTTTTATGTGTTTGAATTATTGTTATGTCAGTTAATTATTGGTGGGGCCAAATTAGTAATTCGCAGTACAATACTGCGAATTAGCTAAAAAAATTTTTTTTTTTAATAATACGCAGTACAATACTGCTAATCACTATTTTTTTTAACTAATTCGCAGTAATTTACTGCGAATTACTTTAACGGCTAAAATTCCGTTAAAGTAATTCGCAGTATAGTACTGCGAATTATGTATTTAAGTAATTTTTTTTTAGTAGTAAAAACGTGTTTTTTGTCCAAAAAACATTAGAAAAGTTTCGGACTCCCCTATTCTTTTTTTTTCCCACAAAAATTATGATCTCTTTCTTAAAAATTTATGGGTTTTTGATGCAGACATACCACCATCTTAGTCAAAAGAGAATTCGAAACTTCTTTTGCTTTCTACTGAGAGCAGAAAAGATGAGGCAGTGGTGGGGCAGGTTAACTTTAAACCACTTTTTCTTTATCTTCATCAATCCATCTTCCTCCTCTCTCCTTTTTTGTTTTTCTATTTTTAATAATAAATATTTGCTTTATTGATTTGATGTCTGAATTCTATCTTTTCCCTTCGAGTGCTACATGAATGGATTGTGGAATGGCTAACTCCATAATTTATGGAGACATTATTCCTCCACATCACATAGGACAAAAAGAAGAAAAAAAGTCCTTTTAATTTCTTTACTTTTCCTTTTTATAAATCCTTTACTTTTAATCACAATTAGTATAATATTTGGGCCTTTTAATGTCTTTGAAAATAATGGATCCTTTCTTTTACAACTGTCATGGCCCCACGGTGATGACACCACCTTCTCTACTTCAATAAAGTTTTCAAAATTATTATAAAAAGAACAAATATTTATTTCCCTCTAACTGCCACATTCAATAAATCCAATTAAGTTGAATTCATTTTGGAGCTTTTGGTTACCAAAGCTCTTTCTTCTTCACTTGAATCTGCAACCACCAGTTGGTACACTTGGTCAGGAATGTTTATCACCAAGCAACTAAATATCATCCTCTGCAATAAACTAAAGTAAGACAAAATACGAGGCTAAATATCATGATTCTTTCATAGGTTCTTCTTATTAGGAACAAAGTTTTGGTCCTCTCAATTTCAATGGAAGAACAAAGCCGCGAAAGTTGGTTGTCTAGGAAAATTGTTGGCCTTAAATTGAGATTATCCACAAGAAATTTAATATTGACCATTAGGATTAATGAATATATGCGCAATTTCTTATTTCTTGTGAAGGATCATAAGATATTGAAATCTGTAATAAGGGTCTGCCACTGACTAATATCGATCTATCAATTTCGGGCTATTTTCTATTACTAGTCTTTGGCACGCGTGTTGCACGTCTATGCCATATAATTAGTATAAAATTGAAAAAATTGTATCGTCTTGTACATGGATAGTAAAACGCTTTTAATCATGATTGCATTTATAAGAAAATAACTGTAGTTAGAAATCGTAACAATCTGAATATTTAAGCTAAGAAAAATGGAAGGAGAAGGTAAAATGTATGAACTCCCTCCGGTCCAAAATAAGTGATTTTTTGGATGTTTTCACACAGATTAAGAAATTCATCTTTTAGCATTAATTAACAATGAAATTGACCATATTAACCTTTACTATCTCACATAAACACTCCTAACACATACTTCAACACTATTTACTCCAAGGACGATGTAGGAAAAAAATAATTAATTCATTCTTGAAGTCTAGAAAAATCACTTATTTTGGACCACAAAAAAAAGGCCAAAAAATCACTTATTTCGGATCGGAGGGAGTAAATGTTAGCTCAAAAAAATTATTATACGCATGGGAAGTTCAAGAGCTTATCCTTATAAAGTGAAGAATTTAGATACATGTGCCTTAATAAATTCTTTGATAATTCCAAGTCAACTTTAATGTTACAAAACTAATTTTTGTTATTAATATTGAAGATATTATTAATATAACTTTTAAGGGCATAAAAGTCTAATAATATTGTAGGGTCATTTTAGTCTTTCATATTCAACTTCTTATAATATAATAATAATAATCTATAATAAGGGTATTCAGTAAGGGAAATTATGTCTTAATTTAATTTCTAGTGAAGTTCACACCAAATGAAGCACAAGTTGTACCATAAGATGATTGAAATACAGGGACTTCCGAAATTCAATGCTGATATATCCTAATATCTAAAATATAATTTTCGCATATTATAGGCAAATGATTTAGCAGCTACATGGAGTAGTTAATTATGTAAATATAACGAAGAATTTATAGATGTTACAATAATTTGTATCGAATTTGTAAAATGAACTTGGAGAAATACAGTTCAGATAATCACCTATGTGCGGCATTTAATATCCATCTTGAGGTCACTAGAAATTTCCTGTTAATTGCTTTTCATCCTATACCCTGCAATACACAAAACAAGATCGATACTTAATTAGCAAAAGAAACAAAAGGAAGAGACGATATATATCATAGTACAATATACAAACAAAGAGAAAATGAACAGACAAAATATTAAAGAGGTAAAAAATGATTATCAGACAAGTACTCGAATCACTTCTAGGATTTGGCAATGGGAAAAATGCCAAGAAGATAAAAGAACGAACGAAAAAGAGATTAAACGTCGAACGCATCACATAAAGAGGTGAGGTAATTAATCCACGGTACACAGTACTATATCAATGGCGAATTATCAAAAAATTGGGACTTATTTATATTTCTATTGAATTTGCTAAGAACGGATTGACACAAAAAAATTATTCCAATCCTGTTAATGACATACACTCTTCTTACATCAAATATAGAGTATTATATGTTCTTCCATCTTCTATTTTTTTTTTTTTTTTTTTTTTTTTTGATGGGGTTTTCTTTTTTATTTTTCTTTATAAATATGTTCCGAGTAATCCAATTTGCTCTCCCTTGTCCTCGGAAAATAGTTGCTCTTATTGCCAGTGGTGGCCATGGTGACTCAAGTAAATATGGCCACTATTATTCTCATGACCATGGTAAGCATACTGAGGAATTTTTCCGGCAACTTTCTCGTGACACATCACCGGTAATGATCTTGTTCTAGTATGACGGACGCACGAATATGATGTTTCTTTATATGATCTTGGACAATTACGATATTTTGATGAGTTGACAGTAGTAGCTGTGGAAGAAAATGATGAGTCCGGTGACGTGGCATCATGATTGCTAATAGTGGTGGTGGTGGATGAGGTGGAAGAAATGGAAGGTGGAGAAGATACAAGTTTTAGTTTAGTAGATTTGGGTGGTAACAAAAAGGCTCTGATCTTGAGAGTTGAAGCATGATCATATTCTTCAATGAGATTGGCTAGATCTTCATCACATGTGATAGACACAAGAGCATCTAAATCTTCATTTGGCAATTGACACCTTAAACTCACTGATGCTCCACACATCTCCCCTAGCTTCACCATTAGCTCTGTAAACAACAATATAAATCAATATTTATTTCCATTTCTCCACAAAAATATAAAATTAACCAAAAGAATAAGAAAAAAATAAGAAACTATCCATTTTGTATTTGATTTCATATATAGTGTTGGTTTTTTAAAAGATAGGGCAGCAAAAAAATTTAAAGTATTTGATTGAAAAAGTCCCTCAATAATTTTACTAAACATAACAAGGCTTTAAATATTCAATTAGGAACAAAATATCTACCTAATTTAAAATTCAAAAAACCTAAAATATCTCAACTAATTTAAACAATATAATAAATTTTAAAATTGAATTTAATCCTAAAACAAAGCAACTTATTATGCTAAAAGAGTTATTGCAGTAACTGAAAACAACAAAATATCAACATAAAGTCTCAAAACATAAACATTTTTTTTAACACATGTAAAAGGTACTCTAAATAAGAACTTTTATTTGTGAAGAAGTTATGATATTTTTACACTAACAACATGTTAATAAGAATACAATAAAGTTTGAAATTTTTCAGAATATAAAATATGTTATTTTTTTCTTTAAAAAAAAAGATGAAGAAAGCATAATATAAAATAAAACCGGGAAAGTGAAATTTTTATAAACAACATAAATAGCTTTTCATTATAAGGAAGAGAATAATGAATTACCTGCAAAAGAAATGCAAGGATGAACGGAGAGGACACGACTTTCACCACCATAGTAACGGAGTTTACCATCGGTGTGACGGGGGATAATCTTGCCACCATAACTACAAAGGAATTTAAGAGGAACGTTACGGGAGTTAATGGATGGACCAACCATTCTATTTGGAATGGGTCCTCTGGTTGTTTCTTTAGATAATTTGGAAGAGACTAGAGAGGTATGAAAATGGCTTTGAATAAGCTTTTTTGTCGATTGCTCTTCAAGCCTATGTAAGGTTCCCTATACTACTTATTTATAGAGCTGGCTTGGCCTGAGAAAATTGGACTCGGGTTGTGTTGGGTCGGGTCGGGTGAGAAAAACCAGAAAACGACTATTTTGAACACGTCACCTACCATTTCCATACAGGTGGGCCCCGCCTGACTTCTGATTTCATTTTTCTTTTTCTTGCTTTCCAACAAATGTGTCCAGAACAGATGAATTGTCATCACAGTTAATAGCATGAGCACCTAATTGGTTACTAGATTACGTACTTGTGTTCCATACTCTACAGTTTACTTTAGATATCCTAATTACAACTGTTATAGCAATTTACAAGTTATTATAGAACATCTTAACCTAATGATATATGATGGACTTTCAGCATGAAGAGGATAGGTCACGTACATTAATGGAATATAGATGTTGGATATCTAGTCAATCAAGGTTAGAATACTTGTGAATATCTCATCGCAAAGCTGATGGAGTTTGGAAATAAGAATTGTAAAATTTCAAAAAAAATAAATAAATAAATTGTGAAAATGGTATTTGAAAATTAGAGATGTGTTTGGACATGAATATAATTTTGGGTTGTTTTTGAAGTTTTGTGAGTGATCTGAGTGAAATTTCGAAAAACAGCTTTTTGGAGTTTTTCAAATTTTCGAAAAATTCCAAAATTCATCTTTAAGTGAAAATTAAAAATTTTATAAAATTTTATGGCCAAACACTAATTTCGAAAAAAGTAATTTTTTTGAAAAAAATTAACAAAATTCTTATGTCCAAACGGGCTCTTACCCAATGAAATTAAGTACTATTTCTTTTCTTTACTCATAATAGTGTATTTATAAATATATCATGTATGATGTTAGATGGAGAATTAGTTAATTAGCAACCCTTATGGCTCGATAAAAATATTCCAACAGCATATATTATATACAATAGAAAGCAGAAGAGGGCGAGTTAGCATCCTGAACCTCAATCATGTCAAATAGAATAACAAGTTTTCAACTAATAGCTACAACTCTAATCTGAATAAATATTCTATGAATATGTTATTGGCTTGTGCCAGAGAATTAGTTTCATTAATTCTGTTAGGATATTTTATTGAATCTGTCCACCTTGGAATGTGGGTACGTGGAAACTGTTAGCAGCGCCATGCCCTGGCTATGTTGGATTCATCATTTCATTTTTGAACAGAGATTCTGCTATCACTTTGATGAATTTTGGACGATTCCTTTTGTCCAAATCTCATATCGAAATAACGTTGCGTATTGTAATTCATATACTCATTATAGAAGATAGGTAGTTGAATTATCGTATGACTCATAATAGAATATTCAAAGATACAAGGATCTCTCTCTAAATATATAAAAGCATTGTACACATTTTTGTTTTTTCTTAAATGCCCCTATCAGTGTATTGCAACACATTCATGGAGAAGGTTTTTTGGTCATTCTAGAAAAAGCTAACCCTGAAGCTTTCTGTAACCCGCCGGTTCCCTCCCACCCAAGGACGAAGCTATTTGGCCCAAAGGGTGGTCAACTGAACACCCTTCGCGCGAAAAAATATATTACGTATAAGGTAAAATATTACTTACATTGATTATAAAATAGACTTTGAACACTCTTGCATAGCACACTGGCCCACCTATCTCTTCTCCATCTCTCATTTTCCCAATTCTTTGTGCATAACCAAAAAAATAATTTTTGCGGTCAAAGCAAATATTGAAATAAATCGGATTTCTAATAACCAATTTTATTTCACTTTTACGAATATAAAAGAATAAGGAATATTAGAAACTGAATATTCAACGTCAAAGAAAAGAAAATCCTATTGATAATTGTAGCTTCCTTCCAAGAGTTGATAGTAAGAATCTCCAATCAAGCAGAGAAATAAGAATAAAGGACTGATAGTATATATTTGTGAATTCCTTGATCATTGTAAAAAATATGGTAAAGGGGGATTTATATAAGGGTATAATATGTAACTGCTTTGCCCCATTAATTTCTGCCCGTTACTAATATTAATTACATTAATTTCTCGTTACTTGAATTATTCGTAACAGTTATAGTAATAATAATCAATCGCGCTTATTCAGGGATCATGTCGTTTCCCTTTCTATACCCACTATTAATGAATCTTCCTTCTTTATAATCTTTAATTGTGTATCCCGCGCCTATCTTTTCTTTCCGGTCGTCACATATGGTTTCTTTGTAAATAACCCGTGGGTGTTTTCCCATGTCTTTCTTCCAACCTTCACTCTTCTTTATTGTTCTAACTCGTACAAAATATGGTAAATGGGGTTTGATCACGCCCAACTATGCCTTATAAAAAGAACTAAGCGGTCGTTGTAAATATAATCTGGTTTACAAGTCCGTAGTCGAATCCCATAAAGAACTAAGGCTTAGCTACAGTTGTTCAATATCGCTAAGAAGCACAAGTCCAAACAATTTCCTAATTATGAAGATTATAATATTTATTTTTATCTAATTAACTAACAAATACTAGAAAGCATTAAAACTATCAATTACCAAGGTAAGGATTGGAGACAAGATTAAGGAGGTCTAGAGTTATGATTTCCCTTATTGTCGGAATCCTTTCCGCTACGTTTTCTATAAATTTGCCTAAGTCTTTTCTACCGATCATGAGCACTCTAACTGTCGTAACTCTCTCCCGAGTAATTATTACAATTTACTAAACATATTCTCTCGAATTACGCTAGCTGGCATTAAGTACGGCTCACTCGGATCGCACCAAGGTTTCGTTATCCCTAATCCCACCTTTAAACCCTCTGTATTGATCCCTCATATACGTTAGGAGTGTTGTTGTTCAACAACTACCTAAATATGCACTCTCTTCCGAGTAATACACACTAAATAGGCACAGTCGATTGAGTGCTCTTCAACCAATCACAATATAAACGTAGTTGAACAATTAGAGGAAAAGCTACGGCAAATCTATATTAACGTAACAGGAAAATCATCCTCCAATAGGTTCCAACAAAACCCTAGATAACAAATTAGCTATTCATCATAGTATGCATAACTACAATACTAGAATTCATAACCAATAATGAAAATAGGAAGAAGGAAGTGAAAAACTCGTAAAAGAATTCTCTGCCTTGCTCCTAGTGTGTTCTTGCCTCCTTAGGTCGAATCCCCGGTCTCCTTAGCCTCCTTAGGTTTAAATTCTATCAAAAGTGACGTTTTTAGGTCTATTTATATGTGTAGGAAAAGACCTAAACATGTAGGTCAAGTCCTAGTCAAGCCGGAAAATTAATTAAGTCTTCAAAACTCGGACTAGACCTCGGCCTAGGCCTGGCGTCGCTAGCCTAACGCCAGCCTCAGCCTGGCTTTTGCCTTGCAGCGCCAGCCTCAGCCTGGCTTTTGCCTTGCAGCGCCAGCCTCAGCCTGGCTTTTGGCTGCCCTTGCCAGGTCTCTCCTTTTCACTGTTCTCGAGCCCACTTTCAACGCTTAAGTATCCCTTTTGCTCTCCTTTCATCTCCAGTTCACTTACACACAAAATAGACTCCATTACGCACAAATAAAGTGTAATTTGTCATTAACGCATGTAAAATGCAAGGCACATAATGTACGAAACTATTGAGTTATAGCCACACATCAATACCCCACACTTAAACATTGCTCGTCCTCACGCAATCAAACTACACTTATAGACACGACCTTTTTAAGCAATTCTCCTAAATCATCACACCAAGAATCATTAAAATAGACTAAGCACAAGGGTGTAACATTTTCACCTCAAGATTTGACTCGCAAGTATCATGCATTATTCACCACTCACTCACTTACTCTAACATAGAGGTCAATGAGACTACCTTTCCATCATGAATCACGTGCCCTCACACAACAAAAGAGAGTAGTTCCACACGCAATAAAATTTAAGAACAATTAGGAACTCAAGATAGAAAAAATTCACTCACTCTCAGAAATAACATTCATATGCTACAAAAGATGCACCATAGGCTTGTCCGTAGTGTACTACTCTACTAATCGAGCTCATTTAGTCTAGGATCAAGTAGGACTTTAATTGGTTGTAATGTAGGCTACGGGTCGGGTAGGATACATTTGGATATAAGAGTGACTACACCTACCTAAGCACTTTAATACATATACTTTAACATTCAAGCCCATACTTATGTCAAACCAAAACTCCACCTTCACATCAATGTATATTACCCAATACTTCTTTAAGCATAATTACATCAAACGCCACCACCATCAAGGATATTTTTCACAACAATACAACTCTTTTTTTTACCTTCTTTTTTTTCAATTCAAGTGGCATTTGTTTTTTTTAACACAGTGCACCTTTCTCTTCATTTTATTAGTTCCACTCAAAAGCCAAAACCAACCACCCCACACTTTAACTTTTATAAAGTTCATAACAATTCAAGTGCTCATGAGAGGTGAAAAGGTTCAAATAGATGGTTAATTCAAACAATTGGGTAAGCCTTGTAATGTGGTTTCCAAAGCAACAGGATTACAGGTTTAAAGGGGTTAACTACTGATGTGCCGGAGAATTTCAGCATATTTAATACCAATTGCTTAGATTTTAGCTTGTTTTAAATGCAATTATCTCTTATACTTATGTAATTTTAATGTTTTGCAGTGTATGAGGTTTAAGGGCCCAAGAACATGGAAATGAAATCAAAAAGCCGCAAAAGGACAAGAAAATGGCAAAATGCGATCGCAGTTGCAACAATGTGGACCGCAAATCCTACCTGCGGGCCGCATATTGCCTAGAGGAACCGCATAACCCAACAGTCTGTTGGCTAAATTCAGGTGCAAGAAATGCGGTCCATATTTGCGGGCCGCATAATGGATCGCAAACTCCCTGCAGAAGTTGCTGAAGCTGGAAATGCGGTGACACTATGCGATCGCAAATCAATAATGTGGACCGCACAACCAAGATGCGACGACTACCTGGAAACTAGGGTTCGAAGATGCGATGGCTTTGAAGAGAATGTGGACCGCATGTTTGTT